AAACCTATAGGGAAATAATATAGATAAAACTTAATAAACATTGCAATATTACTAAACATTATACAGTACAATGTTAATAAGAGCAAAGATAAGGTATAGAGGAGCTTCCTTTAAGCACTAAACCTAAAAGAACATTATATTATTGCAATCTAAGAGCCCTAGCTCAACCTATATATAAAGAGACTAGTAACAGTCAAAGACCTAAGATACTACCTAATTATCTACAACTAGGGAGCCCTAAGGATATACATCTACATTAGTAAGGAGATAGATACAGAAACCTAGTAGACTATACTATAGGAGGATAGGGACCTAACATTAGTTTAAGTAGAGACATCCTAAGGTATACTCTAAGTCTACTATATATACAACCTACTACTAGACTTAAGAAGTAGTACCTAACTAAAAACCCTAGAAAGACTACCTAGAGTTATCTAGGGGAATACCTACTAAATCCTACTTAGGGATTTCAACCTCTACTACCCCCTCTAGGGCTTAGACTTTACCCTAGCTTACCACTTCCTAGTAGGAAGACTAATTGATATATTAGAGAGGGAAGGAATAGAAATTGTTACCCTAAAGGGACTAATTACTTAGGAGGCAAGAGGAAGCAGTAGCATACTAGACCTATACTTTGTATTACATTAGATTAGGAATAGGATTACAAGATGCAGGATTAACTAGGAACTAGAAGAATTATTAGACCACTTCCCGGTATAGATTAAGCTAAATGTCTAAGCTAATTAGGAAAGGGAACTAGAGGAGAAGCTTAACTAGAAGGGTGCCTAATAGGGCAGGATTAGGGAGGAACTAGAAAGGGACCTAAAACTAGAGGAACTCTTAACAAAGCACCTACTAAGGCTAAAGGACATTAATAAAGCAGTAGAAGAACTAATAGGAATCCTAAAACAGGTAGCTAGAAAGCATACCCTAGCAAAGAAACATTTACTGTACTAGCAACTATACTAGACTAGTAAGTGTATAAGGAAGGTTAAAGTAGCAAGGAAGGCTAGAAGGCAGTAGACATAAACCTATACCTAGGAAGCATAGGACAACTATAATAGAGCCTACTAGGAAAAGAAGATCTAGATTAAGAAAGATAAGATATAAGAATAGAGATCTATAATAGGAATAATTATAAAGAAACTAGAGGAGATATAGAGGATAGCTAAATAGGTAAGGAGACCTAAATAGGATAAGGATATACTACTACAATTCCCGGACATTATAGACTAATAAGGACAAATATAGACTACAATAGAAGGGAAAGCAAGAGCCCTAGGCTAACACTTCTTCTATAGAAAAGTATAAGCAGACCTATTAGATATAAAGGAGGAAGAATAAGAGACTCTACTACTAGGTATACTAAGAGACACCTAGGTCAAATCCGAAACTATTGAAAGGGTCCTAAAGAAAATTCTAGGCAATAAGGCACTAGGAGAAGATAAGATCTATAACAAACTTCTAAAAGTATATAGGAAGGAGCTAGCCCTAGCACTCGCTAATATCTTTTTACAAAGCCTAGTACTAGGACACTACCTAAGACTATTTAGGAAGTCCCTAACAGTAGTACTAAGGAAGCCCTAGAAGGAAGACTATATACAGCTTAAGGCCTATAGACTAATAGCCCTACTTAACATAATAGGCAAAGTGCTAGAAAAAATTGTCGCTAAAAGGCTAATAACCTTTGCCGAGGAAAGGAATATCCTTCCTAAAGGCTAGATAGGAGGAAGAAAGAAGAGGTTAATACTAATAGCTATAGAACTAATTACAGAACAGATCAAGCATATCTAGTACTATAGTTAAAACTAGGTAGCAACCCTCCTCTCCCTTAATATCTTAGGAGCCTTTAATAATGTCTCCTACGAAAGGCTCCTATATATACTTAAACAGAAAGCTATACTAAACTAGATAGTCTAATTTATCTAGTCCTTCCTATAGGAAAGATTAATATAGCTTATTCTAGGCAAATTCAAATCAGACCTAATACTAACTAAAAAGGGAATCCCCTAAGGATTAATACTCTCCCTAATCCTCTTCCTTCTCTTTATAGTAGACCTACTCCTACTCCTAGAATTAAAAAACATATTAGCATTAGGGTTTATAGATAATACAAACATCCTAGCCTAGTCTAAGACAATAGAAACCAACTATAAGATCCTAGAAGAGAAGCACTAGGAGTATAAAAAATAGGTAAGGAGGTATAGAGCAAAATTCGCCCTAGAAAAGTACTAGCTTATCCACTTTAGTAAGGCTAAATCAACCTATAATATAAAGCAATCAATTACTATCTAAGGCTTTAAAACCCAACTATTAGCAGAGCTTAGGGTACTAGGGATCTAGCTAGATCCAAAACTGAATTAGGGACTATAAGTAAAGAAGGCAAAGCAGAGGGCAGATACTAATATGCAATCTATTAATAGGCTTACAGCCTCTATATAGGGGGCTATATTCGAGAAAGCCAAAGTTATATACAAAGCAATTGTTAAGCTAGCAATGCTATATAGAGCACAGATATAGACAGCCTAGGAGAAGACACTAAAGAGGATTAAGTAACTAGTTAGTAGGTCCCAAACCTAAAGCCTAAAGAAAATCCTAGGAGCATACAAAACTATACTAATAAGGGTAGTAGAGATAGAATTAGGGATCCTACTAGTTAAACAATACTTTAAGGGACTAAGACACCAATATATAGCAAAGACAATAGAATACCTAGCCTAACAGACTATCTAAAAGGTACTAGACAAGATAAAAGCCTAGTACATTAGGACTAGGAGGCGAGACAGACTACAAATAACTCCCTAAAAAGTTAAAGACCTAGAGCAATATAGAGTCTTAATAAGAGAAATGCTAGAGAAAGAGCTTTAGGGACTAAATATAAGGCTAAAGGAAGACAAGCTAAAGGGAGAGAAATAAAGCCTAGCAGAATTAATTGCTAGATACCTATAAGAGTAGGAATAGAACAAAACACAAGTTAGACTAGGAACCCTAAAGGCACTAATCAAATTTAGTTAATATAACTACTAGCTCTATAAGGACCTAATTAGGGCCGAGGTAAGCCTAGCTATCTAAATCAGATCTAAATACATTAGACTTAGATCTTACCTATATAGAAGAAACGTTCTAGGAATTGAAAGCAGAGCTTACTAATATAGCTACTAATCTTAGAACCCTAAGCATATGCTGCTAGTCTGCCCTTAATAGTTAGAAGGCAGAAGTAATTAGAGACTAAAAGCAATAGAAAGGGAATACGACAAGCTAATCTAGAGTAAAGAAGACCTAAAGAGGATAGTAAAGTAGATTATTAAACAGGGATTTGTATAATAATTCGCACTAGTAAGGGAAACTAAGGAGTAGATAAGAAGGAGGGAAGAAGAGGGGGAAAGAAGGGTAGGGCAGCAGGCAAGGTAGTTAGAGGGTAACAACTATAACACTAGTATACCCTAGAGGAAGGAAAACAAGAAAACGAGGAAAATTAGCACTTATAAATAGGACAGGAGGGAGGTTTTTACCAACTAAGTTAGTTTCCTACCTAACACAATATATAGAAACAGACCTACATAGGCCGAAAGGTACTACAATAGGCAAATAAAACATCTATCTATCTATATACCGTCTCGATCTATAGTTTAAGGCCTCTAAGATTACCTAGCTTCGGCTCTTATACTAGCCGCGGCCTCTTACTACGCATCTCTTAAAACTAGCGCTTTCTTAGATTATATAGCTTAGGAGATAGAGCGGCGGCGGCGGCGGCAGCGGCGGCGGCGGCGGCCTCGGTTTGTAGCTACGTAGAAGGGCTTAATAATACAGCTAATATAGGGTACAGAAGGGCAGCAATAGAATAGCGATAATAGCGATAGTAAGGTATACACAATAGCGACGGTAAGGTAGAAAACAGCTATTTAGCGGCAGAGAATATAACTAACAAATTTGCCTTAGGCCTTCTCTGCGATTAGACGACTAATTTACAAATAGCCGGAGCTAATTTACGAATAGTCGCGCCTCTATATCTAAGGTCGATAATATATAACGCGTTTGCCGTATCTAGCAAGCGTATTACTAGCCGAACTTATCCTAATTATATATATATAGCGGCTTTAATGTGGATTTAAGTATTAACGCCGAACGCTTGCTACTAATTGTTCTAGTAACACTACTGTGCGTAACGATTCTAATGTCTCGGATTATTAATTGTAAAAGAGAGGAACTCCCTCGAGGGAGGCTCTCTGAAGAGGGAAAGTCGGTGCCAACCCGGAAACCTTCCGCCAGAGTTAATGTGGGATAGCATATTATTTTTAGGCCATGGCCTAAACCGAATTGCGTAGTTGCATTCAGCGAAGGAGATGTGTCGCTCTTTCTTTCCCACGTCTCGGAAAGTCTGATGCTTGCTACCAACATCCATCTTCATGATTATTCATCATCAGGAAATGCGACGAATCTCTGGTCCACGCGGCTCACGGACCTGGGAACCATGATTCGTGGTGGTTGTATTTGGCGGACATGCTCGCTCGTTAGTCACCTGAGTGCACATGCGAAGTAGTCACTGCTGCTGCCGGAAGCGGAAGGCGCTCTCCTCTACGGCAGAGCCATCTACTAACATTTGGTAGCTTTCCGAGATGAAGAGACATACATGTATTTGTACTGTTCAGCCGTCCCTATTGCCTTCCTAGAACGAGACGACGCCGCCATACTTCGAACAACGTCGGACCTGGCAAAATTGTATCAACAAGTTGAATCAATCTTATATCAAGCTTGAGTGGCCCAGCTCCGCGCGCGAGGAAGTCGGTCACGCAGACAATGCTATTGACACGAGAGCAGCTCGATCATTCTGCTCAACCACATCCACAGGTCGCTGAGGTAGGAGGACATGCAGACTGCGATTCTAATGCTGACTGCGCTCATAGTTCTGGCACTGCAATCCTCGGCGCCCTCCGCAGAATGATCCTCATGCAGCACGCAAAGCCTTGAGAGCCCACACAGACGCAGTACTGAAGCAGATAGGCCCCCCACCGAAAGAGCTGATCGAGTTCTACCATGACATTCAGATGCGAGATGGCTACGAAAGCTCCCTCAAGATCATCAAGCCATCGAGCGGTCCTGCTGGATCTCTCATTGTATTGCTATTTGGTGGCGGCTTCGTTGCGGGCGACAAAGACCAATTGACAGAAATCGCGAGGATGTTGGGACTATTATATGGCGCGACCGTGGTCTGCATCAGCTACAGGTGAGGCTACGAGAATCTCGTCGTACCTCTCTCTCTCCCCCCGCTAATTGTTTCCTCGCAACCCAAAGGCTAGGTCCTGAGCACAAATTTCCCTTTGCCCAGTATGATGCCTGGGACTCACTCAAATGGATCGCTGAGAATGCAACCGGATGTCATTTGAATGCGGACCCGTTGAAAGGTTTCGTGGTCGGTGGTGTATCTGCAGGAGCTTCCATTGCAGCAGCTCTTTCTCGAAAACTCCAGGACCAGCCGCTTACATATCCTCTTACTGGTCAATGGCTAGCTGTACCTTCTTTGATGCATCCAGAGTGCTGTCCACAGGTGTTCCGCTCAAATTATATTTCTCTGGACCAGAGCCCGTCTTCCCCAGGACTCTCAGAGCAAGCGCGTCAAATGATGCACGATGCCGTGCAATGGGACAGGAGCTCGGACTTGCGATATGCTGCGAATTCTGGGACAAGCTTGTCGGGACAGCCGAGGACGTATTTTCAAGTATGTGGCATGGATCCGCTTCGCGACGATGGACTCATCTACGAGGAGATGCTCAGAGAAGCAAAAGTCTCGACGAGGACTGACTTCTATCCGTAAGGCTCCAAGGCGTGCGCCGTGTCCGATGGTTGTGTCAGTGCTGATTCTTTACACAGCGGCTGCCCGCATGCCCACTGGGTCGCGATGCGAGGCTACGAGATTGGAAGGAAAGCGCGGATAGACACGTTGGTGGGAACTGGTTGGCTGTTGGGCGTGGAAGCGTCACGTAGCGATGCTGCTTCCGCGCTCGGCGTCTTGGTCGCCTAAGAAATGACGATGGAAAGGGATGTGATGGTTAAGAAGATACCCGGCTGAAGCCACAATGCAGGAACGGAAATGTGCATATCGGGAGCAGCCATCTGAATATGTCTCACCTGAATATTGCCAAGCCGCTTTGCGTCGGGGCTTTCTTATCGATTGTGGACTGTGGTACGAATCTCCGATTCCCTGAAAGTCCTGATTTTGCTGTGCGCTGATATGTACCACCTCCATTCCCTAAACTCTGCACACTCAGTGCTCACGAACGCATCTGATGAGGAACTCGAAACCGATATGAGTGACAGAATTCCACCAGGGCGCGTCGTATGCCCACGAACATGTCGCGAACAAGGCGCCATGGCGTCCTAGCACGATCGCAAATCGACGCTATCAAGCAAGATGGGAAAGCAGCAGATGTCATTGCGAAGCGTTTGTGCAGTATGGCAATGCACACTCGTACTGGACTGCTGAGGTAATCGTGAGTTCCAGGGCGGGGCGGAGGGAACGGCGTAGAATTGCATGTGGCTGATTATGAGCAGTTGATGACGTACACCAGACCACCACCACCACCACCACGTCTTCCTTCCGTCTTCCAATATTGGAAAGGTGGAAGGACCAGGAAGATGCCCCAGACACAGTCGATGGTTGCCGCCACTGCTTGAACACCGACCTTGCCAAATGAACCCGCTTCCAGGCGACGACACCACGTGGACGCAGTGCAGGCTCGGAACATTTGCACATTGGCCGAAGGAACTCCAAGGCTATGCTATCACCACCGCCGCTCTGGTCTATGCGGCGGCTATCTTTTGGAATGACGACCTCGTCCTCCTTCACAACAAAGCCTGGGCCGATGCGGGCGGGTTGAAAGCGCAGGGCCAAGCACGACAACATGCATTGTCGGCGCGCACTGTGGACGTACTGCGCTCGGTGATCGCGCGCGGGCTTCCCAAAGAAATCCACGTTCACGACTTGCTCCAAAATGAGGCAACAGACATCAAGCCAACCTCCACGGCCATAGCGAGTCCCTTGCTGGGCAACCGTGGTCGGCCAAGTGCTGTGCTCGTTCAGCTTTTACCAAAGCCCATGCTTTACCGTTCTCTCGACATGGCATCAGGAGGCGGAACGCGCACGGCCATCGATCGCCGTGGTCAGGCGAACGAGTCCGCCAAGTCTGTAGACAATGCTCCCCTCGATGAGCACCCCGTTTTTAGACGCTTTGCCGAAATGCTCCCATCGGGTCTTGCAATCCTCGATCACAACGCCAAAGCAGTATTTGTCAATCAACACTTTTGGGACCTCACGACCATGCTAGGCGATGATCGATCATTTACCAGTTGGCCACAAAGCATACACCCCGAGGATTACGACCGTGTGATGGAAGCATATAAAGATGCGTTCCACAACAGCAAGGAGCTACGCACTGAGTTTCGAGCTCGAGGCGAACCTCATCCTTGGCGTCTGTTGCTCTTGACGCCATTAGGAGACGAAAATCTCCAACACGTCAGTCTGCGCGAATATGGTGGCTTCATCTGTAGCATTGTTGATATCAGCTCAGAAAAGAGCGCTGAATTGGCTGAGCGCAAGGCAGCCCAACAAGCAAGGGAGCGGAAAGAGCAACAAGAGCGCTTCATCGACATGATATCGTAAGACTGATTCTACAAAAGCACCATAATGTTGCAGGCATCCGCTGACCATTTGGTTTGCCATTTTTAGACACGAAATTCGAAACCCCCTCTCTGCTGTGCTCCATTGCGCTGAGGATATCGGCGATGCAATTCGCGAGCCAAGGCAGGAAATCGACACGAACGTCATCCTAGAGGCGGTGGAGACCATCGAACTTTGTGTGTCTCACCAGAAAAATATCGTTGACGACGTTCTTTCGTTTTCAAAGCTCGATGCCTCCCTTCTTTCTCTTGTGCCGAAGCCATGTCAACCGCATCGTCACCTAGCCACAACACTCAAAATGTTCCAGCCGGAGTTCCGAAAGCAGCAGTTGCAGTTCGGCTACCGTGTCGATGATGCCTACTCCGAAGCCTCGGTGAGGATCGTGCTGGCCGACATGCCACGAATATCTCAGGTGTTGATCAACCTCACAACGAACGGTATGAAAAGGACGTACGCAGATTTAAAAAGCCCAAAGCTGACGCGGCGATATGTTCAGCCATCAAGTTCACACATCAGAGCGAAGGAGAGAAGCAAATCATTTGCTCAGTGGCTGCTAGCCTCGAAAGACCGACATCGTATCCTCCGAACGTCGTTTTCTTCGAATCCGAAAGCCTCGCCCACCGGATGGATGCTACAAATACCAAGGAGTGGGGAGACGGCGAGCCTCTATACATCATGGTTGCTGTGCAGGATACCGGCATAGGTATCAGTGCCGAGGGCCAAAAGCGGCTATTTGAGCGCTTCCGGCAAGGTCTGTTAGCACCGTCTTTCAAAGCAGCATTCAGCTGACTTCTCTGATTTAGCAACTCCCAAAACCGGCGAGGTTTATGGAGGTTCAGGGCTTGGGCTCAACATTAGCCGAAAGATTTGCCATCTTCATGGCGGCGAAATCGGAGTCAGCTCAACTGAAGGACAAGGAAGCACGTTCGGGTTCTTCTTCAAGGTTCGTCGGACGCAAAGAAACGAGAGCATGGAGTCCGAGGCGTCTTCAGAAGGAGATCAGGAACATCTACGCGACCAGATACAGGCGCTGGAAATTGCTGATGCCCAGGCTACTGATCTCTCTGAGCCGTTCAATTGGGTTCCACAAGGGCAGCAGCCTGCTCACCAAATGAAGGAGATGAAGGACGAGAAGTTATTTGGTGGTGGGCCGGGTGGAAACCAGCAACGCGAGAACAGAGATGATCGATACCAAGAAGCGGAAAGACCACAAGTGTCAAGACCACATCGCACGGGCGAATCACTGCAATCTCAAGAAGTTCAAAAAGGAGGACACGCAGAAGAACAGACATCAACGCGACCGGTAGCTTCCTTTAATCGAGCTGGTTCGCGGGCGCATGTACTGCTCGTTGAAGTAAGTCAAGTCCGTCTGCGCAACACTCGATGCTTACAAATGGCCTGCAGGACAATATCATCAATCAGCGCATTGTATTCAGAAAACTGGAGTCAAAAGGATTCAACGTCACGACGGCGAACAATGGCGAGGAAGCTGTGCAGAGCGTGCGAGACGCTCCAAAGTTGTCATCCGGAGACAAAGGCGCATTCAATGTCATTCTCATGGATCAAGAGATGCCAAAGATGAATGGAAATACTGCAACAAGGGCAATCAGAGACTTAGAAGCGCGAGGCGAGATTGAGCGAATACCGATCTTGGGAGTCACGGCCAACGTTCGAAGTGCGCAGCAGGACGAGATGATAACGTCGGGTATGGATGGTGAGTGCAAACCAAAGGGCAGAAGCCTCCCTCACCCTGCGCATTCCCGCCTAGTAGCCCTCGTGTCTCACTACCAAGCGCCAATCGATTCACCCGATTGCAAACGGGGGATTTCTCACTTAGGATATCTGCTAACGCTTCTACCCTTTACCTTTAGATGTGATCAGTAAACCGTACAGGATCGAGGACATGGTGAGTTCGCGACCCACACTAATCGTGAAGGAGACGTAGAGCATGCATCTTACCATGAAAATAGGTCAATAAGATAAATTCAATCGCAGGCATGAAGCCCCGGGATTCAATGGACGAAAATCCTGATCAGGCGGACGGGCAATCTTGAGAAAGTTGCATGCTCCAAATCACGTGCGTTGCAGTTTGCAAGTGAGGTGAGGTGAGGACGAGGCCCGCTTCCCTGGAAACGAGAATCTGAGATAAAGTCTGAGTGTTCCGCTCATCGAATTGAAGTGGACAGGGCTTGTGTTCAGTAGCGCACGACGGCTACATTGCGCAAAGGTCTCTTCACTTTCGAGCCTTGAATGCACGTGCGGATACGATGCAATGGCTAGAGCAATGTCAATTCTGACGACCCACTTCTGCCGCTAATTTCGTTGAAGTTACATCGACATCTGTGTTGGTCGCACAGCCGCTCCAGATAGAAACCGGAGCGATGGCTACCAACAAGAAGAGATCGCGGCCTCAAGGGGCCGAAGACCGGTCGTCGAAGCATGTAAGGTGAGTACCAACCAGTTTTCAGGCCCAAATAGTTCAGCTTTGCGGGCGCAACGTGGCAGAACCTTTGACGGCAATGCATATATCAGGCGTCGGAGCCTTAGACTGATGGCATTCGCAGGTTGAACTACAGTCGTACCATCACGATCAAAGTGGGTCGCCAGATCCGGCCAATTGAGCTCAAATCCCAACCACAGGAGGACCGTACGAGTTTTACCGTGTATGAAGACCTGCTCGTCCAGAATTCAAGCTACTTTCGAGAGCAAATTGCTCAAAATCCCAGCAAGACAAAATTCGATCTCGACAATATTGATCCAGAAGAATTCAAGACTTACCTCGACTGGATTCAAAAGGGTCGTCTTGACATCGAAATGGTCGAGAGCGCCAATGCACGCATGTTGCTTAAGCTCTCGAAGAGTCCCAGAGTTCGGGCCAAACGCGATGGAGCGATTCTTTTCAGGTTATGTCGACTACTCATTATGGACGATACCCACATGCAGGACGACAATTTCTCAAATGCGCTCGTGGCTCTACTTGGTGAACTTTTGGAGAAGCATGCCGCCAGCGCTGTATGCCTGACCGCCTCACAGGGCCAGCAGATCTGGCACATGGTGCGTCGGCTGTTTCCCGAGCATCAACATCGGATACCGACATGGATGGCAGCAGATCTTTCCGCAACATCTCTCGAAGAGTCTCGACACTTGCTGGCACCACCGCTCTTCGAAGCAATCAAGAAAATGTTGCCGGAAGAGCTGGAAGTCTTGGTAGGGAAGGATCAGAGAAAGCGGACATTCATGGTCGATGAGCGACGTTGCCGTGGCCACTCAAAGGTGCTGGAGAGAAGTCTGGCGAGCGGGAGGACCAGGAAACCGGGGCTTGTGCTTCCTGCTGAAGACCCAAAATGCTTCGCGCTCTATCTGCGCTGCTTGGCTGTCGACAGACCAGACTTCCTGAGTGCCATGGATACCCTAACGAAGTGTGAAAATGGCAAATTTGTGCCTGTCAACGAAGCAGACAGCAGAGACGCGATGCACAAGCTCTGTGAGCTATGGATCTTAGCTTCTCATTTGGAAGATCTAAGGATGCAGAACGCGATCATGGACGCCATAAATGCACTACGACTGGCCATAAGCCTACGCACGGCAGAGATGGTGATCGAAAAGACCGCAGTCGGATCTGGACTGAGGCGATGGATTGCGGATCTCCTTGCTGAGGCTATGACGACCGACTGGCTGACACAATGGAGCCGAGAGGTGTCTAAGGAGCTGCTCATTGATTGGTTACATGCTTCCGTGCAGTCTCGAGAGGAGAAGGCCAAGGCTGGCACAACAATTGCTGCTCGGCGGCCTGATCATTACCATACGCATTAAAAGGTCATGCGGCAAGTTGGGCGATCTGTTGCACCTGCGAGAGTTCGAATCTAGTGATTGAATCGGCAAAGCTTCGCAGGATTCTCGAGACGTAGATTTTGCTCGAGTATGTTAATCATCTCCCTCGTCTCTTTCTATCATGATCGCGCTTTCTGCAGCTCCCACTTATCTCTGCCAGGTCGAAGCCGTGAGCGTTCCCACCGGTTTGCTTTGCGATGACCAAGCAGATCATCTTCGCCCAAGCAGGATCGAATGCTGTATGCAGCCACGCATGGACAACCACCACCTGTGGTCTTTCTCCCAGCCGCCCTCGTATCTCACATGACCTGTCGTCCTTCTTGGGCATCAACACGAGACGCCATCTAATGCCGTGCTGTATCTGTACGTTCATGTTCCTCAACATGCTCTGCCGCCATCTCATAGATGGGCATTCTCCGCCTTAACTCGAGGTTCCGGTCGTAGTCCATTCTGCTTTTCCTGCAATGTCTTTGATCTCATCCAGCTTGCTACCCATCTTGACCACACTATATCTGATCATGCGAGGGTCGAGACCGAGCGTTCTTCGCACGGCATGCTGTGTTTTGGCGCTGGAGTCGAATCGCAAAATGAAATAGTGGCCTTCTTTGTAGGTTGCGCCTTGTTTTCGCGCGGGATTGGGTAGGGTGAAAGTGCCCCAATTGGTTATGCCTCGTACTACACCGCCGGCAGAGAGTACGATGTTGCCCGTCGTTCGGGTGATTCTATACATCGAGACTGTCAGAGATGTTGTAGGGAAACTTGCAGAGTCATTGGGAGGCGTACTCTTTGATCTCGTTGACGCTACGACCAGGGCGGACCTGATGGCCATGTCAGCATATTCACCTCGCTCAACAGGAGTTCATAATTACCACGCCTATCAGTTCGTACAACATCTTCGCGATGATGCTTAACGCTGGCGGCAGTGATTCCCGACGAAGCATCGAAGTTCGACGCCAAGCGGCCAAGAGTCGCGGTTACGATGGCCAATTGCGTCAGCGCTTCCCGAGCGGAGCAGTGAACACCGAGCACATGCACATGCAAGTGATGCACCGCCTCGCACAAGGCCGCCGTAGTAGTTATACGTCCGAAGTCTAACAAAACATTTGTTGCTCCAATCTCCTCTCTACGGCGGCAGACATGGCTTCAGCGGTGGCTGGTAGAGCTTTTGCTCGTTCAATTGCTTCTGCGAGCTTCGCCAAATGCAGCCGACCACAGTACCTGCGATTGAGAGCCCAGCAGACTGCATTCAAGCCAGCTCGAACCTTCAGCGGAAGTGCAACAGGTAGCGTGGCAGTCAGGCATTGAGTGTAGCCACGACACATATTGACGACTGCAGCTTGGGTGAAGAAGTACACCGAGGACCACGAATGGGTTGAACTATCTGAAGATGGCAGTACAGGTATCGTTCATCTCATCCACCACCCCACTTTCACATGCGCGTAGCTTACCACTTTGGCAGGCACGATTGGTATCTCAGAATACGCCGCCAAAGCACTTGGAGATGTTGTCTTCGTCGAATTACCCGCCGTCGACCTCGAAGTCGGCCAAGGAGAGTCCATTGGCGCTGTGGAGTCTGTCAAATCTGCCTCCGATATCATGACTCCTATCAGTGGTACCATTATCGAGGCGAACAGCGTGCTTGAGGAGAAGCCAGGCACTATCAACAAGAGCCCAGAGGCTGATGGCTGGTTGGCTAAGATCAAGGTGTCTGCGCCAGAAGAGTTGGATGGATTGATGGATGCAGATGGTTACAAGAAGTTCACTGAGGAGGCCGATAACCACTAAAGGGCGAGATGACACAGACAGCTGAAGCAGAAGCGGATATACCAGACGAGGAGACCTCCACGTATGCCAGGACAGGTTGATGGCCAAAAAAAGCGGCGCGAGAAGAGGCCATAGAGCTGCTCCGCCAGCAATGGCAACATCATGAACACGCCAAGCTGGAGTTAGATCAAATCATCCCAAAGTTCACGACAGCTTCGATTGGAAGCTTGACTCAAGATTTCCTCTTCGATTCTCGCATTCCGCTACAGTCCATTCAGCACGCCGAAGTGAAAAGTCGATAGGTATCGAGGAAGGGGTCATCTCCCGGTAAGTACAGCTCGCAGAAATGTCTCACGTTTGCAGCAAGAGGAAGCCCAAAGTCGCCAGACGATATGCCGCAATTGCCAATTTCGATCGTGCTTACCGAAGCATAGCGCGATGAGTTTGACCTTCGCGAAGACTAGGTCAGCCCTGCTTGGCCAGGATTGTTGCGAACTCACAGACGTGGTTGATTATTACATCGGCATCGGTGTCGCACAGATCACTTTCGGACCTCATGGCCCACTGGCCCAGAAACGACAACGTTTTGTCAAGCAGATAAAAATGCCGAAAGGAGAAAGATCGATCGGTCTCCTTTATGTTGAGCAGCGGCTATCTTGACAGCCCCAACCTGGGCAGATGTCGATTGACTCGATTCCCTGAAGGCACGAAACTGTATTTTGCTCAACATGGATGTCGACTGGGGCTGCGATTTCGACCTCCAGGCTCGAATACTTGAGTCAACCTCGGCGAATTCCAAGATGAAGGGGCTCAATATCTATCCACTCTGTTCAGTGCCAGCTTTTGGAACTCCCTGGCTTCTGGACAACTTACGAACAGGAAGGAATATCTTTCTGCTCAGCACTTGACAGACGAGACAGACGCCAAGCTTCTTCTTCGGCATGCTTCATAACCCATGTTGTCCCTAACTCTTGTTGCATCACTTCTTTTCACGCTTGCACATTCAAACCCAATCACGAAACGAGGCACTTACATTGGCTCGACGACGCAGAATCAGCTCTCCGATGGCACACCTTGCCGAGACATCACAATCATTTTCGCGCGAGGAACTTCCGAGTCTGGGAATGTTGGCACATTGACTGGACCTCCATTCTTCCAAGCTGTCTCTGAATTGTCAGGAGGAAAAGTCGCCGTTCAAGGTGTACGTCTCTCCAACTTTCCGCAATCAAATCCATCGCTGAGACAACCACAGGTAGACTATGCAGCAAATGTCATCGGCTTTCTAGGGGGCGGCGACAGCAATGGATCGCAGAAAATGGCTTCGCTTGTTGCAACTGCAAAGCAGAGATGTCCTGGCACGAAGGTCGTGCTGAGCGGATACAGCCAAGGAGGGCAATTGGTCCACAATGCAGGCCGTCTCTTGGGGTCGTCAGGAGCCCTCGTGAGCAGCGCTGTGGTGCGTTTGCCTTGTCAATCGATTTCCAAGCATCGACGTTGAGTACTGACATGAACGCTGTACAGATCTTCGGGGACCCTTTCCGAGGCCGACCTGTGGAAAATGTCTCATCTCAGAGAACACTGATCATCTGTCATGCTTTTGACAATATTTGCCAGGGAGGAGCTCTCGTTCTGCCTTCCCATCTTGATTATGCTGTTGATGCGACAAGGGCTGCACAGTTCGTGGTTCAGGCTGCTTCGGGGTAGGCTCGACTTTAGCCAGGTCATGTGATTATGCAAGCATTCTGCAATCATATCTCTCTCATTGTAGCATCCACGACAGACACAAAATCTGATCAGCTGCAACTGCAGGAGTCGTCATGTGACTTACATCCAGCGCAGGACCCTGATCTGCGGCACCTCCACCTCCACGGCCCACCTTTCAGGATCTCCTGGACCCTTGCTGTCCCTGAGATAAGCAAACAGTTTTGGAATCCTCCTTGTTTGGACTTTTGGAGAGATCAGCGTCTGTGAGTCGCCCATCTGCCCGTACCTTTCTACTTGCCAATTGGCTTCGGCTATGATGAGTCCTTCCCTGCTCTCGGAACTTCTCAAGGGATAATGCGAGCCACAAGATCCTCCAACCAACGCCATCCCTGGCCGCAAGTACCGAGACTGTATATCTCAACCTTCCACTCGGACTTATGGGCATCTAAGTACACGCCTTTCTCTTTCGCATATTGCTACCTCTGTTCATCATTTTGCTTGACTCTTCACGCAATGCTGTGACCAAGACACAGGCGTTGCTATTCTAGATCACCTGCCGCGATAACCACGCGCGCAAGCCTCGTGCCTGAACCCTTGCGACCAAACAGAAATTCCAAGTGACTAACACGAGAGTCGCTGACCTCAGCTTCCAGCCCTCAACATGGAGTCCTCGATGTTTGGACGACTCCCCGCTGAACTTCGGAACAACATCTATGAGCTGGCACTACTGGAGCACAACGAAGACTCGCGAACGATCGATCTTGAGAGCTCGACCGAGAAGCCTCTCCGCTTCATACGTTCGAGAGACGACGGATCTCCGTGCAATATCAGTATAACTGGGCTGCCACAGACATGCCGACAGATTCGGAGGGAGTCGCTGAGGCTCTACTACTCACTGAACCGCTTCTACTTTGAGACTGAGTATCTGAAGAGCTCGGAAAAGGGTGCTATTATAGAGAGGCTTGAAGACTTCACCAGGAGAATTGGTCCAAAACAGGCAAGAGAGATTCGCGATGTGACAATCAATCTAGGGACCGTCAAAGGCCAGGACGTCCAGCCATCGATCGATTGGCGGCATATGTCGTCTTTGAGAGAACTGTTCCACCCTCGAGGTTATACAAAGATCCGATTTCACCTTGGCTCGTGCTGGGGCACCGAGTTCACTCTCGGCACAAGAAGATCCATCCTTGAGCAATTGGACCATATCGCTGAAATCTGGGCGTGGACCTGGCAGAAGTTGCGAAAGTATAGCGAAATCGAGGCGAGGAGAATGGCTGAGCGCTACAAGCAGGACGTGGCCAGGCTTTTCGAGGATATGCCGGAGGTGATTTGATCGCAGGAGCGCAAAGACCGGCGCGGCGAGGATGAAGGAGGTTGCGCTTGATGATACCCGAGGGGCGTTTGTGGATTCAGTCCCGAGGCATGCTGCGGACCGTGGTTCCCGGACTCGAAATTGAGATGGATAGGTACATTAGTCTCTATAGAGCCGGTACAGGCAGCAATGCCGTTCAGCAGGAGTTGCCAGCGCTGGGACCACCCTCCATTGTGATGATCAGCATCCACTCCAATATGTCCCCTGGCCACGACGGCTACATCGTAGCATTGTCCATAAAGTAGCTGTATATGAAATATCTGTGATCGTTATTATGAACACAAGTCTTGACGTAATTGTTTTTGCTATCTTCGACCATTAGCCTATCTCCGGTTCAGACCCTTGCTGACTGAGCGCAAGGAAGTGTGGTAGGTGTGGGTCTTCTGCCTGCCTTCTACCACTATGCTCCTTCCACCACTACTACCACTACTACCAATCTATATCGGACTACTACGCGACCGGACCTATACCACTACACTAACCTCCTTGCGCTAGCAAGGGTCTAAGGACAAATGTCGTAAAGCTATAGAGGCAGTCCTTATAAAAATACTAGGTTATTAACTAGCGTGAAATCTCGTAATTTAGCACTCGCATCTTATTGTCCCGTTAATTCTGAGTTATTCTATATATACAGTATTCAAATGCAACGCGTAGTTGTTAAGAAAATAAGTAATATTTAACATAGGTAGCTATAGGTATGCGACGGGTTAGTATAGTATCTAACTACCTAATATCTAATATACGAAATATACATATCTAAGACTAGGAGATTGTAGAGCGACCATTTCTAAATACTGTTTATATAGACTACGTATGTCCCTAATACCTACCTGCTAAATACTAGCCCTTAAGCGAAGCTAACTTATTTACTAGAATTAAGACCTTCGAATATCGATAAGCGACAATGCGGAGGTTATAGAGCGGCTATTTCTAGATTACCTTAATGCGAGCGATATATACGTAGAGCGTAGTATTGTTATATTGTATCTAAGTAGCGGAGGCTATTTAGCTAGCTTAAATCTATCGATAAAAGCTAGTACTATAGGCTAGCATTATAGGCTAGTACTATAGGCTAGTACTATAGGCTAGCACTATAGGCTATCGTAGATTATGCTTATCGCTAATTGCGCTCCGTTCTGCGCTAAGTAGTAGAAGATTCTCGTATACGGCTTCCTATAGGTTATCGTTTGTCGCGCTAATTAATATTATATATACCGCATTAATCGATCTCGTATTTGTAGAGGTACTGCTGCTACTACTACTGCTGCTACTATATATTAACGAAGTCTTGTCGGCGTTACGACTAATCGTACTGTCTTTGTATATAAATCGTAAGTCGTAAACTAAGCGCTTTACACTTCCTTAGTTAAGTAGGTCTAACTAACAAAGCCTTACCGCTTTAAGCTATAGGTATAATAGTAGTACGGACGCCCTTCTTCGTCTCTTCTTCCTACTCCTACGTTCTTCTACCTGTATTTAGCACTCGTACTACCGCTAGCACTCGTACTACCGCTAATACTCGCGTCTAGTACTATTATTGCCGCTAATATGTCTAACTCTAACTCTAACCTGCCTAACGCGCTATCCGGTCTAGCGCCGCTATACCTCGACCCTAACCTCTTGTCTAAGCCGCTATCTAAAATGAACTTAGACTCCGATTAATAGGCAGAGATGTAGGCTACGCTTAATACGGACCTTGCCCTTTAGTAGAACGAGCGCAATAAGCGTAATAAAGACGAAGCGCGTCGAGAGGCATTATTATAAGCGGTCGCTAATAAGGATATATATAAGCTAGAGGCGTATAAGCAGGATAATAATCTTAGTAATAATAATATTGTATTAGAAGAGGCGGAAGAGGCTCCTATCGAGGAAGACGAGGCTATCGACCTATTTAGCGACGTCGAGGAGGATAATAGCGATAAACTTATAGACGAGGAAAATGCGGAAGATGCTAGCGTAGCTATACTACTACGCCGCTAGACTCGATAACAAACTCGACTCGCAGCCGCAGCCGCCGCCGCCGCCGCTAGTCCTTAGCGACGTGTTTAACAGAATAGGACTACTCGAGGCACTTAACGCGTTCGTAGTTAGCGTCGTACCTACGAGTAGAAGTACGTTAATATCTTCGGAGAGATAAAGCGTGCTAGGCTCCCGCCTAAGCAGTAGATAATAATCTTTAATAGTTATAGCGAGAAGCTAAATAGGACTTATCGTAACTATATCCGCTAGTCTATAGCTGCCCTTAAATATAAGCATATCGTCTTAGCTCGAGTTATTCGTAACGAACTAAAGAAGCTTATTAGTTAGCCCTTCTTTAACTAATATAAGCTAGAGGATTCGATATAGGAAGTTAATATATAGGAGATATATAGTATAATCGAGGAAACTACGCTAATATAGGTTAGTCTCCTATAGAAGCTGCTTCTAAACAAGAAGGTATCTATCGACAAAGAGAACGATCTGCCGTAGAAGCAAGATCGCCTCCGTAAGCGTATTGCGGTAATAACCTAGATAGCTATTCGCTCGATCTCCTTAAAGAAGGCTTCCGTATTCGGTAAGCAATTCGGCCTGTACCTAGTTACTAGTAGTGTGCTATACTATATAATTAGTGTTATTAACAATATAGGCCTGTCTAGTGCCGCTCGCACGATTTAGGTACTAATGCGGAAGATAGAGGCAGTTTAGGACTAGCGTGTAATCGTAATAGCTCGAGATAAGCGGAGTTTCTCGGTATACGATAACCTAGTTAAGCAGAAGAATCGCAAGGGCGTCTAGAAGCAGGGTAACCGTACGGAGATGCTAAATATAACTACCTCCTATATCGGCATTAACGAGCGTATTCTAGTAGAAGGTTTGACTAAGGATATAATTGATTTGAACTCGGAGCTTAGCTATAAACACATCCTAGGAAATCTTGCTAAGGACGCGAAGCATAGAACCCGTAAGCACCTCTCGTTATACTATATCGACTAGGTATTAGGTGTCGTATTTGGACTAGAGCTAAAGGGTGTGTTCGAGGGTTACGATTTCGAGATACGATATTAGTCGACTATTACGTAGAGTCTCGATATAGCACTCGGAATTAGCACTAAGCATCTCCGTCCGGGCACTAAAACCGAACGCTTTGTATAGCTAATAATCGATATTATAGACCCGGAAGAAGCTACTAATCTCGTCCCGATAAAGCTATCGATAAACGATAAGGTATCGATTACTAGATTTAAGGAGGTTCTAAAGGATATCTTCCTCGACAATATACAGCTAGATAAGGATAAGGACTTCGGATATTAGCTACAACCTAGTAACTCTACTAAACAGATTGCCGCGCGCGACAAGAAGAGTCGGCTATATCTAATCGTCGGAGACTAGATAACTTGTGCCTATTTTAATAGCTATTAAGCGGAAGGCGTCGAGTCGGAGCGCCCGTATAATCGATATAACTAGGGCGTAATCGTGCCTAGCTAGCTATATATCTGTATAAACAAAGCGTACGGTATCGTTAAGACCCACTTCGATAAGAATTCCGATAAAGCATAGCTTGCCTATTCCTTAGTCGGCGATGCCTTATTCTATACGATAAAAGGTATTAGTAAAGAGAACCCTAAATACTTCCTTGTCTTAAACCTAC